CAGTCCAGTAAGGGCCGGCGACCATTTAGACCCGTTTTGGAAAGCGCCCCCCGGTAAGCTCGCCCTGTTGCAAAAACTCCTTTCATACCGGCCTGGCTATCGTCCTGGAATGCTGGACTGGTTGTTGATCTCGAACTTCTCCATCCTGGGGTCTATTGTTTGCAAGTACTGGTACATGTAATCTATCCCAGAAGGAACCTGCTTGTGGTTTTTAATCCTTCAGCGCCATACAATATTTATACTAATCCGCTTAGACCCTATTCATCTGTGGAAGCATGGTGGGGAAAGCCTTCCATTAGGGACTTTGAAATGCCGATGTGCAGACAGGCCTGATACCGGCCTGGAGTAGCCTGAATACCAGGCAGGTTTTATACAGGGCGGGCTACCAGGGGGCCCTTTTCAAACGGGGTCTAAATGGTCGCCGGCCCTAAGCTTTCCAAGGCTTGCTGATGCCTCGTTGTCCACACTATCTTCTGTTCAGATGGCAACTGCCCGGTGTTCTTATGAGGAACCATTTTGGGTTTGGCTTTCTCCTGGGTGACGTTGTCCCTGTTTGGTTGAGTGCTGTTCATGGTCGAGTTTCTTAGGAGGGTGTACTGCAACTTTGCTTTCCTTGATATACTGGCGGTAATATCCTAGAAGACCAAGGAGTTTAAGTAACTTGCCAATGGTGGTGAGTGTCTTAGCCCTAAGTGCTTTGATTGCTTCCAAGTCTGCCGAGTCCATTTTGTATCCATCAATGGAGATGATTTTACCCAAATACCGCACCTCCTTCTGAAAAAGACACTTACTGGGCTTCAGTTTGACTTCTTTCTCCTGTAAGTACCGCAGCACCTACAACACTGGAATCACTCCTTAGGCCAGTCAGCTGAGCATGTACATGTAAGAACATGTTCTGCACTAGCAAGGGCTCATACTTCAATCCAGATCCAACCTCCTGACTTGCAAAGATCACTTTCTGTTCAGGTCAAGGGCCAGGAAGAGGAAACCCTGTGGAGATTCCTTCCCTCCTTGTGTCAGCCAAGACAACTGCTAGTACAGCTCCGTCGCATTCTTCTCTTGATAGCGACAGAAGGACGTGGCGGAGACTGGTGAGGTAGAATTCTACCCTACCCTTGAGGTAACTGCAGAGAGGAGAGCCCACAGATATCGCACGGATCACTCCAACAATCTTGGGTTCCATGTGAAATGAAAAATAGCATTATTGGACTCGTTCAAATCTAGTAGATAAAACAGTGGCAATAAATGATGAAACACTTCCTAAGAACCCTTAAATCCTAAAATTGATTCCAATATTGATAAAAAGAATATCGACTCCTTATGACATCAGTCAAAATAATGGAGGATTGATTCTGTGGTGTAATCTACTCTGGATGTAGTCCATCTATGAGTCGCTAAACAGTTTTCATGCACGGGCGGTTTTCTCATGCTCTTCTCAGAGTGTATACCACTACAGGAAACGCCTGTCCTTACACCAGGTGATAGTGCTGACCACGTACATGAAAGTGCTATGCATTGTATGTTGTACAGCACATGTGCAGGTGACTTTAACAAAAGTATAAACAATAATATAGAATAGGACTGATCCTTAATATTCAAGAAACACATGTCAAATACAAGATCCTAATCAAAATAATTGGCACAATACAATTTCCTATTCGACAATGCCAATTTCAACATCGAGATCCGAAAAATACGAGTACTGTGTGCCACAGACATTTCTATTCAATATTCTGCATAAGACCCCTAGACCATGATCACCGCATGTTTAACCACTTGCTGCCGGGTGCTTTTTTTAACCGTTACATGTGCTGCCGGGCTGTTTTTTCATATTTTTGTTTTTCAAAAATCTTTTTTTCTGAACGCCAAACCCCATAAAATTAGTGTCCCGTGGCGAGTCTAGCCCTTACAAGCAACTTCCATTGACCCTTCGGTTTTGCAGCCACGCCACCCACTCTGTATAGAGCCCCCATTGTGTAGTGTTACATGAGGGCTCGTTTGTTCCGGGCCTTGGCCCAGCGCGTTGTTATACTGCCGTGTTGCTATGCAGAGCGATTGACGGTCAAGACCTCAGCGCGTAATATGCGGTGAGTGAATGGGAAGCTGGGCTTGGTAAACTGTTCATTGAGTGCGGGCAATGACGGCAAATGAATCATGCTGTAAAAAATTGGGTCTCAAAGTGTGGGTTTTTTGCGGCGCTGCCGCATATATAACTTTTGCTATTTTTTGAAGCTATTAGGGTTTTTTCTGTTATATATTTTCCCATCTACCAAACTTATATCTCCCGAAAACTACTCTCATATTTTATCTGCCAACTTGTTCATTGTCCCTCCAACAGTGTAAGTTTTAGTTGGATATTTCCTTTCCCAAACTTTATTTCCCCAACAATTTCAAGTAAAATCGTAGAAAACCAATAAAATCAAGTACACATAGAAACAGACACAGACAAATATTTGGAGAGAACTTTTTTTTCTCTTATTTTCTTCTTGTCATTTCTCTTGTGTTTTCTTTTCATTGCTCATTGAAATAGTTGAACTCATAAAAGTAGTAAAATAAATTTCCACTCTTTCTGATCCAATAAAAAGCAATACTCATAAAAAAAGGCAAGAATGAGCAAACTCTTAACACCGGTGCAAGGAATGAAAAGGATGAATATACAACATCCTTAAGGCAGTACTTTCCAGAAACTTTGTCTATTTTGTCATTTTTTTCAAAGGCTGAAAACATGACCAATTAGTAAAACCGTTACAAGGAAATGTGCCACTTTTTCAAGAGATGAAAATACAACATCCTCAAAGCAGTACTTTCTAGAAACTCTGTCTATTTTGTCATTTTTTTCAAAGGTTGAAAACATGACCAATTAGTAAAACCGTTACAAGGAAATGTGCCACCTTTTAAAGAGATGAAAATACAACATCCTCAAAGCAGTACTTTCTAGAAACTCTTTTTTGTCATTTTTTTCAAAGGTTGAACCACCAGTAAATGATATATTGTTTTACACCAGATAAGTGGGACATCAAGTCCTGAAAAACACAAAATATAATGTCCATGAAAATGTCCATGAAAGTAAATGTTCAAAGTGTCAACTAGTGGACAGTATGGTACTCCTTGAAGCAGGGGGCGACGCAGAGGGGCTGGTGGCACGTGTCGCACTCAAAGTATGTCTTCTTTTGCCGACCACGGGAAGCGCAGAGGACACACTGCCGGTAGCGGAAGTCGCCATAGCTGGTCCTCTCAAAGTCCACGGAAAAGTGTTGGCCGACAAAGCGAGAGTTGGTGACTGGTAGAGTATCATGCTGAGGGCAGTACTCGGGCAAGGGCTCGTCCAACAGCAGTTCACGGACAAGACTCAAGCGGTAGTCGAGGAAGGAGAGGCGGTGACCAACGGCCAGCTACACGGCGTAGTTGTTCACCAGTGTCAAGTCGAGCAGGTAGAAGAAGAGCTTCTTGTACCACATGAGGGACTTACGAGTAGCTCGATGATTTGCCGCTAGTTGGTCGCCCCCCATCAGGGCGTTGTATTCGATGATGCAGGTCAGTTTCTGCTTTTCCTCCCCCGTCCTGTCTTGCTTGCCGGAGCCACGGATGTCTGCCGTATGCATGGTGGAGAGCATACGGATGTTGCGCTTGTCTTGCCACACCATGGCCAGGAAAGAACCGCTGACGCCCAGGTCGGCTGACCGGAACGCTGTTTCACCCCGCTTCAGCTTGACGGACTGCAGGTCTTTTGGCGTCCCTTTTCTGTTCGCCATGACGGTGCCGATGACGTTGAACTTCTGGTTGTGAAGTCGTCGAAACAAATCGGGACTGCTGAAGGCCCGGTTGAGGGTCATTCACCGCTTAGGTCATTCACCAGGTCCATCACCACTTGTGTAGTTGCTGGGAGGTCTCCTTTACTTTGGCCGGTGCAGATTTTGAAGTTGTAGCAGTACCTGGCAGCACTCCCGGTGCTCTGGCACAACTTGTACATCTTGATGCTGAAGCCGGACTCTCCGGATATAACTTCAGCCATGTTGTCTGTGCTTTGATAACATGATACCCAATATGAACACATAAGCCACTGCACGGCGATTTTATTCTCAAGCAGCAAGGGCCTAGCCCTGTCAGTCAACGTGGCAAGGGCCAGCAGCGCCCCGGCCGGGTCATTCATGGGGCACAGGTGCATAATGAGCCCGCACAGTCCGCGCTTTGTCTTCAGTGCAGTGCAGCGATAATCCGCTGCGAGTGCCCGGCAGCGCGAACAATAGCGTTCTGCACAAACAATACACGGATTACCTCCGCTAATGTCAGCGCTCTGCGCTGAAAGAATACGGGGATTGATTGGCGGTGCCCGGCAGCTCTCAGCAGGTCACCCCGGCTATAAAATAAAGTCCCAATTGTCCGGCCCCAGCAACCCATTATTACCTCCAATGATGGCCTAAACTTTTTAACTGACAGCGCCAAACTTTTTAAGAAACGCCCAGCAACTTTTTTTTTTTATAGTAAAGTTCCGATTTCGGAGACCCCGGCCATGAATATAAGGCCTATGCCTCCGGTATCGGAGCCCCCAGCAGGAAGTGGTTAACCTACACACATACATGGACCAGGCACAAGTTCATGCACTATGACTCTATTAGACTCAGATGAATTCACAACTACATGTAAACTATATATACCTCTAATGAGCAAATCCAAATCAAGGGCTGTATGCTTCTTAAGTACATACATGTTGTGCTAAAATTATAGAAATCATTCCCAAAATTATTACTCACGAATGGCTGGGTATCCTGAATGTCCAGAAGCACAACATTGGCATAGATCAAGTTCAAAAGGAAGTATACATGTAACTCAATACTTGTCGAGTTGAGTGACAAAAAGACATATTCTGTCAAACATGGAATAGTCATGGAAAGAAAATAATTCTAAAAACCCCAAGGCAAGTGTAAATACATCTTCAGTGCATGACTTAAATATTATAAATTCTTGTCAGTCATCATCAAAATAAATGAAACACAACATACCTGTAATAAAAACAAATCAGGTAAACACTGTGTGAGCTGTGGTGTGGAGTCAATGTTACTCAAGCATGGAGTCAGAATGACTCAAAGAACAAAGGCTTCCACCACATGGCCACCAGCTGGAACTTCTCTGGCTGTTTCATGTTGCAAACCACAGCTAAGCACCAAACAGGAGTAGACAGTACTTAAATAAAAAAAAGGGGGGGGCTCCAATAAATAATGAACAGCTCTGGCTGGAACAAACAGTGAACCCTAACCATATGTCCATGGCCTCTACACATAATCACCATGCAACTATTAGGCAAGTAAAGAAAAAAACAAGTTTCTCATCCAGATTTTTGAAAAAAAGGAGGAAAGAGGGCTTTCATTTTTTCAAGATGGCTGCCATTTTAAAATTTCTTGCAACAGTTAGAGTTTCCACTCTTCAAAGACATGTTAAAATGAAAGACAAGTAAATAAGAACATTACCTTTTGGACTTGTGACATACAATGTATCCATCACTGTTTGACAAGTTTGGTGCCTTGCGCTGTGATGAAACCAAACAAAACAAGATTCAGGCTTATGAGCATGCAGCTATGCATGAGTGACAGAAAACATTGGCTGCACTAGACTGTTTCCTGCCCCTTCCCCTGCAAATTTCTAAGTCCGAATGCATCGATGAAAATGGTATGGGGAACCAGAGTACGGCTGTGTGAGTGAATTCTTTAAACACTGCTCGAGCCTGAGTTCAGAGTGTTTACAAAACAAGTAGATTAAGCTTAGTTGCCAGCTTCGCTGATTCCAGCCATTCCAAACTGCATGTGAGGCTCTGACTGGAACCAGTGAAACCCAAGACCAAGCCTAACCCATTCGTTTCAAAAAGCCTTCAAGTCCCATACCGGTCAGTCTTACTCTTTATCCATCTTTTGAAAGGTAACATAATGCATTAGACTTTTTTATTGATGAATGTCTTATTGTCTTTTACTTGTTGTTTGGGGCTCTTGCCTTTTGGCAATAGTGATTAGGTTCACGTTTTTAGCTCCTGTCATCTTGTCTAGAACAGGCCTACAACATAATGACGTTATGCAGTGCTTACTGCGGTGCATTGTGGGTGAAAGGTGGGGATGTTGCAGGAACGCGTCGATGTGACATGTTATGTGTAACATATACTA